GAGAAAAGAAAATCCAGTTGGATCCCGAGACGGAGGCCTCTCTCCCTCCCTCCCTGACGGGGGTCCCTGTTGGGAGGGAATTCTCCCTAAGTTCAATTGTGAATGAAAAAAGAAAGGAAGCTCCTCCCTAATGAAGAAAAGTTTCTCCCTCCTCCCTTATTCCTCCCTAAGAAATTAAAAGATGATTCCCGCCATAAAATATCCCTAACTCCCTTTCTCCCTCCCTACGAAATTCTCCCTAGAAAAGAGAAATTTCTAAATGCCTAAAAGGAAGAAGAAAATAGGAAAAGATATTGATTACGAAGATCCTCCCTCCTTTCTCTCCCTCCCTCCCTCCCTTTCTGGAAGAGTAACATTAAGAGAAAAAAGAGAAAACTCCTATCTAAATGAAAAGATAAAAAAAGATATTCCCCTCCCACCCTCAAATGATCTCAAATCCCTAGATAAATCCTGAATGGAATCCCTCCCTTTCTCCCTCCCTCCCTCCCTCCCTATTGTACCCTCCCTCCCTCCCTCCTCCCTTTCTCCTAGAAGATAAAAATCCAAAAAAAAGTCCCTCCCTCCCTCCTCAATTTCTCCCTCCCTCAAAGAAAAAGAAAAAAGATAAAAAAGATCCCTCCTGAATCCCTTTCCCCTCCTTGGGAAGATAAAACCCTTAGGGAAGAAAGGTCTCCCTCCCTAAATGAGACAATAGTATGAAAGCATAAAAAATAGAACAAGAAGAGGATCCTCCCTTAGGAAAAAAGAAATTAGAAAACTCCCTCCCTTTCTCCCTCCTTCCAAACATGTGCAACAGAAAAACCTCCCTTTTCTCCCTTCCTCCCTCCTAGAAAATCCTTCAAAAAAGATTCTCCTCGAAAGGAAAAGAATATCCCTAAGAAGAGAATCTCCCTAAAGAAAAATCTCCCTCCTCCTGATCTCCCTCCCCTCCCTGGAGAACTCCCTGAAGATTATGTGAATAAAAAGAAGAGAAAAAGAACTATTAAAAATAGACAAAGAATCCCTAAAGAAAGTAAAAGAAGAGCAATAAAATAAATCCCTATTATAGAAAGTAAGATAGAAAAAAGTACCAAAAAAGACAATTTCCTTTCTTGAATCCCTTTAAATGAAAAAAAAGTAAAGACTAATTAGCAGCTGAGAGTCACCAGCTAAATAGGTACCAACAATTTGAAGGTCAGCAAGCTCTGACATTACTCCGAATTACTAGCAGTGCACGCAGTTAATGATTAACTAGTAGCCGACTGCAGATAGCCGAATGACGGCTGCACTGCGGCTGGCCAGTTCTGGGTGGATGTCATATGACGTCCCACCAGAACGCGCTCTCCTGCGCGCCCCAGGGGGTGCGCACCCGGCGATCTCCGTGATCGCTGTGTCCTACGGACACAGCTGATCACGTGATGTGGTAAAAGGCCGATCACAGCGGCCTTTTACCACCTGATCAGCGGTGTCCAATGACACGCTGATCAGAGGGAAATGCAAGTACCGGTTCTCGGCTGCACTTTCCTCACGCTGTCAGATCGTGAGGAAAGTACTGCCGAGAACCGGCAGTTGTCAGAGCGAGGATCGGCACCGATCATCAGGGCACTGATGATCAGTGCCCTGATGATCGGTGCCCAACAGTGCCACCCGCAAGTTCCGCCCACCTGTGCCCAGCAGTGCGCCCACTAACTCCGCCCACCTGTGCCCAGCAGATCACCCACCTGTGCCCAGCAGTGCACCCACCTGTGCCCAGCAGTGCATCCACCTGTGCCACTCTGCAGTGTCACACACCTGTGCCCAGAAGTGCCACCTACCTGTGCCCAGCAGTGCCACCCACCCACCTGTGCCCACCAGTGCCACCCACCTACCAGTGCCACCCACCAGTGCAGCCCAGCAGTGCTGCCAGTCAGTGCCACCAGTCAGTGCCCAGCGGTTGTGCCAGTCAGTGCCGCCAGTCAGTGCCCAGCAGTGATGCCAGTCAGTGCCGTCTATCAGTACCCATCATCAGTGTCACCTATCAGTGCTGCATATTATTGCCGCCTATCCGTGACACCTCATTAGTGCTGTCTATCAGTGCCGCCTATCCGTGCCACCTCATTAGTACTGCCTATCAGTGCCCTTTAGTGCTGCCTATCAGTGCCCATCAGTGCCGCCTATCAGTGCCCATCAGTGCTGCCTCATCAACGCACATCAGTGAAGGAGAAAAATTACCTGTTTGAAAAATTTTATAATAGAAACAAAGAAACTTTTTTTTCAAATTTTTTGCACCTTTTTTATTTATAGCGCAAAAAGTAAAGCGCCCAGTGGCGATTAAATACCACCAAAAGATAGCTCTATTTGTGAGAAAAAAATGATCAAAATTTCATATGGGTACAATGTTGCATGACCGCGCAATTGTCAATCAAAGTGCGGCAGCGCTGAAAATTGGCCTGGTAAATAAGGGGGTATAAGTGCCTGGTAGGCAAGTGGTTAAAGTGAGGCTTCTCATCTGCTAGCTAGGTGTCTCATCATGCAGCGGAAGCAATAGCGTGTTATATCACTTCCGCTTTCAACACTAAACATGCCATCACTTTCACACCTGCATATCATGTAGTGTTTCCAGTTTTTTAAATATAAATAAACAGCGCAAACATAGACCTCTATATCAAATCAATACATAAAGTGCAAACATATATAGAAAATTATATTAATAGTGAAAGTCCATCATAGTTAATAGACAACAAAAGTTCAGAAATCTCAAAAAAAAATATTTTTTGTGCAAAAAAATCACAAATTCTTCTTCTAATGTAAAGAAAAAACTTCCACCTTCCACCCGTGCAAACCAACATCAAATGCACTCACCAAATTTAGGTGAATGAAACGCCTTTTAGGAATTTGTATGGGATCCTAAACCCTCTTTCGTATCCACTCTATAGGAATCCTCACCTTCAGTGTAGGCTCCACCATACAATCGGGGAGAGAAAAATCTCAGATAGTGTGATATTGCAAAATACCGTTTTTAAATAAAATCAAGGATTAAGGCCACTCACATTTAAATCACTTTAAAAAGGCATATTTATTAGGACAAGCTTCTTCCAAATGGACAATGAATGTCAGACAACCTCCTCAGGAATCTCACATCACAGCTCCAGGATACAGCAGAAGCTCCACAGAGACCAAACATGCACAGATCCCAAAAGATGGCCGCTGGAATGCACCGCTCAGCGTGCGCTCCACTCACCGGAAGTGACGTCAGACGTACGGGGTAAAAACCGGAAATGCGTCTTCCGGTGACGCATTTCCGGTTTTTACCCCGTACGTCTGGTCTCTGTGGAGCTTCTGCTGTATCCTGGAGCTGTGATGTGAGATTCCTGAGGAGGTTGTCTGACAATCATTGTCCATTTGGAAGAAGCTTGTCCTAATAAATATGCCTTTTTAAAGTGATTTAAATGTGAGTGGCCTTAATCCTTGTTTTTATTTAAAAACGGTATTTTGCAATATCACACTATCTGAGATTTTTCTCTCCCCGATTGTATGGTGGAGCCTACACTGAAGGTGAGGATTCCTATAGAGTGGATACGAAAGAGGGTTTAGGATCCCATACAAATTCCTAAAAGGCGTTTCATTCACCTAAATTTGGTGAGTGCATTTGATGTTGGTTTGCACGGGTGGAAGGTGGAAGTTTTTTCTTTACATTAGAAGAAGAATTTGTGATTTTTTTGCACAAAAAATATTTTTTTTGAGATTTCTGAACTTTTGTTGTCTATTAACTATGATGGACTTTCACTATTAATATAATTTTCTATATATGTTTGCACTTTATGTATTGATTTGATATAGAGGTCTATGTTTGCGCTGTTTATTTATATTTATCACATTTTGTGTTCACCACATTGCACAGCAGCAGGATAGATCCTGTAGTAGGGTGTTTCACTTGGCGCAGGAAGAATTTTTAGTTTTCCAGTTTTTTGTCCATTTTACACTGGCATATCATGTAGTGTTTCCAGTTTTTTGTCCAACCCTTTATATTCTAAATACTTTTTTTTTATTTTTAAATGACCAGATCACCTCTGTTCTCAGCTGCATAAGGGGCTTAAAGAGGTTGGGGTGGAGACTGCAAGGGGGCAAGTCAGAAGGAGGCAGAGAAACAGCAATTCACTGATCTTTATAGTGAAGCGCTGTACAGTGGGGGGTGTCAGGTTAGAGCGCATCTTGTACAGGTTGTACAGGATGTACAGGTTAGAGCGCATCTTGTGGAGGACATCCATGTCATTATATAATTATATTGGCACAAACTGGTGGAATAAAGGAACTGGAGAAAATATTCATAAAAGGATAACACTGAACTGTGATTTCAGTGAACTATACCAATTATTGCCAAAAGTATTGGGATGCCTACCTTTACATGCACATAAACTTTAATGGAATCCAGGTCTTAGTCTGTAGGGTTCAATATTGAGTTGGCCCACCCTTTGCAGCTATAACAGTTTCAACTCTTCTGAAAAGGCTGTCCACAAGGTTTAGGAGTGTGTCTATGGGAATATTTGACCATTCTTCCAGAAGTGCATTTGTGAGGTCAGGCACTAATGATGGACAAGAAGGCCTGGCTTGCAGACTCCGCTGTAATTCATCCCAAAGGTGTTCTATCGGGTTGAGGTCAGGACTCTGTGCAGGCCAGTCAAGTTCCTCCACCTCAAACTCGCTCATCCATGTCTTTATGGTCCTTGATTTGTGCACTGATGCACAGTCATGCTGGAATAGGAAGGGGCCATCCCCAAACTGTTCCCAAAAAGTTGGGAGCATGAAATTGTTCAAAATGTCTTGGTATGCTGACACCTTAAGAGTTCCCTTCACTGGAACTAAGGGGCCAAGTCCAACCCCTGAAAAACAACCCAACACCATAATCCCCCCTCCATCAAATTTTACACTTGGAACAATGCAGTCAGGCAAGTACTTTTCTTCTGGTCAAGCCCAGACATGTCCATCAGATTGCCAGAAAGAAAAGCGTGATTCGTCACTCCAGATAACATGTCTCCTCTGCTCTAGAGTCCAGTGGCGGCATGCTTTACACCACTGCATTGACGCTTTGCAGTGCACTTGGTGATGTACAGCTTGGATACAGTTGCTCGGCCATGGAAACCCATTCCATGAAGCTCTCTATGCACTGTTGTTGAGCTAATCTGAAGGCATATGAAATTTGGAGGTCTTTAGATATTGACTCTGCAGACAGTTGGCGACTTCTGCGCACTGTGTGCTTCAGCATGCCCTGACCCCACTCTGTCATTTTATGTGGCCTACCACTTCATGGCTGAGTTTCTGTTGTTCCCAATTGCTTCCACTTTGTTATAATACTACTAATAGTTGATCGTGGAAAATTTTGTAGCAAGTAAATTTCACTGATGGACTTATTGCTCAGGTTGCAACCTATCATGGTACCACGCTTGAATTCACTGAGCTCCTGAGAGCGACCCATTCTTTCACACATTTGCAGAAGCAGTCTGCATGCCTAGGTTGTTGATTTTATACATCTGTGGTCATGGAGGTGTTTGGAACACCTGAATCCAATGGTTTGGAGGGGTGTCCCAATACATTTGGCAATATAGTGTATATGATTGGGATTGGACTGATCATTGTATGTATAGTAAATGAAGGGGTTATAGCACCGTGGTAGCACAGCACTTTATGCTCATTATTATAACAAAAGGCAAAACGTTTGATTTAGTTTTGGACAGAGCAGAGATGGATTAGCCCATGACACTTATTTATTGTATTTTTGTTTTGCTGTCTGTGCCCCCATTAGGGAGATTTGTTCTGTTTACCATTATCATGGAAAGTGAAAGTAAAAGAAACCCCCAAATTGTGGGTTATCCCCAGAAATATAAAAGAGGGGAAATCTTTCAATTGGGACACTAGCTCACGTCACTTGGGGGTCCCCAATGAATGTCTTCATTTTGCACGGAATTTCACATACGTCCTGATTTGGCTGCGGGACACTGAAGTGTAGTATCCCAAATTGGACACAGAGGGAAAAAGAAAAAACTGGACAAGGGTTATTATAGTCCTCCTTACTCTATCCAGAAAGAAAACAAAAAGTTTTGCCTACAGTTCTACTTTGTCACTGTGCGCAGCATCCTAATGCATGCGAACGTTTGATATCTGCCATACATAAAACAGTGGGATAAACTAAAAGTATGTCATTAATTGGGTCAACAATAATTGTTACCTCGAAATTACATTTTACCAAAATATAATTAGATAAAAACTACGTCAGGCTTCCATTATGTAACAACTCTCGCGCGTGCGCAGAAGACAGCCGTCCTGTTCCGCCTGCATCAGTCATGACGCAGTACTCCCCAGAGCCGGTCTCGTGGTGGCGCCGTGTTGCGCATGACTCGGCTAGTCTCGCGGTATCAGCGGAATGACAGGCTGGGCTGTAGGATCAGCTGGACGCCGGGGAGCAGTGTGCGCGCCGGTGTGCTGAGTCCTGGAGCGTGTCCTCCCCGGGAGCGGGCAGGTAGGAGCGGCATGGCCTGTGTGCTGTCATCTCCCCGGGACGGTCTGTGTGTTCTGCTATAGAGTATGGATTGCTGAACGGAGAAAAAGATCTCCTCGGATGGATGCTGGAAAGCATGGACGTCTGTGTGCTGCTGACAGTTCAGATGACAGCCTATTGTATACATGATCTGTACAGGGGGACTGGCTGATGTGCTGTGCTTTACACGTCTAATGTATTACTATATTTCTGTATATTTCATATATATTTGTTGTTGTTGTAATGACCTGTTGGTGATGAGTGATTCTCCAAGTTTGGTCAGTGATCCCTGCACACTGGTTGGTTATTGATCTGTCATCCTTGTTTTCATCTGCTCTCTGCTGTAGTGATCAGTGCTAGGCAAGTCATTTGTATGATACTTGGAGCATAACTTCGTCTGCTGTGGATTCCTGTTTGGCTCTGGCAGGATTAATGGTGGCTGTACAATCTGACAGTCATAATTCCCTTTCACATCAGTTTCACCCGGGCATTACGTATGTCCATTTATGGACGAAAAACGGACACCCATGTATTTCTATGGACTAGGGGATGTAAATGAATGATCATCCGTTTACATTCGTTAATGTCCGCATCCCTTAACCACTTGCTTTCCTGAGGATTTACCCCCCCCCCTTCCATTTTTTTGTGTTACGGCTCTGCGTTACTTTAACTGACAATTGCGCGGTCATGCAACGCTACACCCAAATGAGATTTGCGTCTTTTTTTTTTTTTCACACAAATTGAGATTTCGTTCAGTGGTATTTGCTCACCTGTGCGTTTTTTATTTTTTGACTATAAAAAGAGCCACCATTTTGAGAAAAAAACATGTTTTGACTTTTTGCTATGTCCAGTAAAAAAAATTTAATCAAATTTCATCGTAAATATAGGCCAAAATGTATTCGTTGCATGTCTTTGCTAAAAAAAAATCCCAATACGTGTAAATTAATTGGTTACGTGAAAGTTTTAGTGTTTACGAATGGCGGTATATATACTGGAATTTTTAAAATAATGTTAACTAGTAAGGGCGGCAATCAGCGACTTATAGCGGGATTGCGGCAGACATTCTGACACTGGGGGGAACTGACTTTCACTTTAAATGATAATGGTAAACAGGACAAGCAGAGAGTGAATCTTCCTAAAGCAGAAACAGACAGCAATAAAAATGGACAGGGGTTCTAATCCCTCTTCACTCTGTCCAAAATTCAGTCCATTTAACATGATTTCCTATGGGACATGTTCATATCTCTGCATTTTCACCCGGTGCGTTTTTTGGAAAGGGTCAGGGACATTTTTGAACGCAGAACATTGCATTTTTGGTTCTATAGACTTCAATGGGAACCCTGCAGAAAAGCATGTATTGCGTTTTGCCACGTTTTATCTGCATTTATGATGCGTTTTGCGTTTTTAAATCTCGCCTGGCAACAAGAAAAACATGAAAATACCCCCCCCAAAATGCTAAATGCGTTAAAAACGCAAGTGCAAAAACGTAACACAAAACACAATGCCGGAACGCCTCAAATGCAACCTGCATAGGTGTGAACCTAGCCTGAAGGTGAACTTATCCTTTAACTATTGATCAAATCCATTTTTCGGCTTGTCGTATGTCAAATGGGTTGTCAACTATAAATCAATTATTACTTTTGGAAGAGAGTGATCGGGGAAGAAAAAAATCAATCATATACTGTAGAGTGTATGGCCACCATTAATATGTCACTTGTTTGTTTAAAGGTTTGACATCACCATAACTCAGTAAGGTAGACACGAGGGCCTGCCCCTGATTGGATATACTGATAGGTTAAAGTAGGCAGCTGCTCAGATTACGAAGTTTTGGTAAATCTAAAGTTGATTGTATAAGGATTGTGCGGCTAGATTGTAATGTGTATGGTGACCCTTAATTATGAAGGATGCGCATGGCTCATATTATGTAAGAAACCGCATGGGTATAAAAAAAAAAACAGAAAAAAAGTGAGTTCCATGCATCATATGCTCTGAATTCAATCTCAATGGGGACACTATCTGCATGGAGTTTGCATGTTTTCCCTGCGCTTGCGTGGGTTTTATTTGGCTATTCTGGTTTCTTCACACACTGCAAAAGACACAGTAGCAGGTTAATTGGCTGCTGTCTAAATTGGCCCTAGTATGTAACGAAGGGTGGCCATACATTATATGATTTTTTTTTTTTGTACAAGTTTCCTTTAGAATTCCCAAAACCATATAATATGAGGTTAAACCTAAACACTTTGAATTTGTATGCAATCAGGCAGGCTCTTGCACTACATAGTTGATGGCTAAAGCAAAAGGAAATTGAATAAGAAAATTGCATAATGTATGGCCAACCTTAGATTTCAGGCTCCTTAAGGGCAGAGACTGATGTTAACATGTTACCAGAGTATGTTCAGTGCTGTGTAAATTGTCATTGCTTTATACAGTAAATACTTGTAATAAATTAGAGAGTCTGGATAAACAGCACAATTGGGATCAGTTTTACACCTGAATCGCACAGGAATGCTGTCCCTGTATCTGTGTGATTCAGTGCAGTGCGATTTTTCAGCCCATTCATTTGGGGGGTTGCAGTAAAAATAGACGGTTGAGCCCAGGGTTGGACTGACCATTTGGAAACTCGGGCACTGCCCGAGGGCCCGGGGTCAGTAAGGGGCCCCATGAGATGCCCTTGGCACCTTTTTATAGGCTTTTTTGAGTTTGGGCAAGGACACGGGCCCCATAATCCCCTATTGCCCGGGGGCCCCATGAGTTGTCAGTCCGCCCCTGGTTGAGCCATGATTTTACCACCTCTCAACTACCCACCTTAAGCTACAATGGTTGCCAAATGGAGTGATATGCAGCATCAAAATGTACACCCCATGGCATGATAGGCGGACAGTACCGCCACCAGACGCAAACCATTCATATAAATAGGGCTGCTGCGCAACCTCCCTGCAATCATGTGTAATGCATATGGTTGTGGCACTGTGCTGCAGGCTTTTCAGGGTTAAAGCAGGTGGTGTGGGGGCGACATATAGAACCCAGACAAAGGTTAAAATAAAGCAGTAGCATAGAAAGCACTATAGGAGACAGAAGAAGGCAGCCATATAGATTGTATTTAGAGATTAGAGAAGCAGACTGGTAGAAATAGAAAGTGTAGCAAAAAAGTAAAAGCAGTGTAGAGTAGAATGGACGTAGATCTAGGACAATGGGAACAGGGTGTCTGCTTAGTAGGAGGAAAGCTACTACAAGAGTCGCATCTGTCTTCAGGTGGGATTTATCATTGGGCAATAAGTGGACGTAGTTTAAGGTGCCCCACCACATCTCTCAGCATGGACTGCGGAGCATAGAACGTTCATGATCACGGATGTAGAAATGTTGTGTTTTCTGGTTTACTGAGGTGGAGTCATCACTTTCATCAGAGCGATAATTCTTTATTCATGTGTTTTAGGGAAGTTGGCCTAGCTATTGTAATGTGTTTTGTATATGTAGAAAAAAGATCAAAATAAACAATGTGCATAAATGTTTGTATAAGTATGGAAGTATTTATATATTTTTTTTTTCTTCTGCATCAAAATTGCATGCAGTTTTTTTCCATGTATTCCATTGGCCCTAGTTCACGCCAGTGCAGTCAGTTGCAGTCAGTTTCCGGTGCAGAAAAAAAAGTAGAACTTTTGCACAGAACTGTTCTGGAACATAGCAAACTGCACCGGAACTGTGTGTTTGAACTGTAAAGCAAAAACATAACTGGAATGCATCTGGAGTGCATTTTTGAAGTGTGAACTGGTCCTAAAAGAGAATTTCAGGTTTACCTGTATATTCAGGTCCCTTTCACACTAGGTGATTTGCCCATGTGTGTTCAAATCCCCATCTTTTTTTAATCCTTCTCCTTGCAGGGATAACATTTTGGGCTAGAGGAGTTCTGATGGGTCTGCAGCAACGTCACATGGACAGTGCTGACCAATCAGATGCCATCTAGCCAGAACTGTC